CCTATTTCTTGTTCTTTTGCTTCCATGTTAGTTTGTGGCCGGTTTTTATGAAACCTGACAAAGTTTATGTGCAGTAAGACTGCAATGTGGATGCATGTTATTGTGGTAAAACTGATGGGTTTAAGGCAGAGTTTGACTGCAGCTTAGCAGAACAATTCATGTAGCCTATCCCATGCTGTCTGTTCTTAGGAGCCTGGTGGAAGCCCCGTCATGTGACGGAACATGCGTCCACCCCTGCGTCTTGGTCCTATGTCCCAGTTATATATAGCATGCGTGTGCATTGAATTATGTGATCGGACGCTGCTTGTGTTGGACAGCCCTTGTGTAGTGATGGAAGACACCGTTTTGTTATCTGTTCGTGTGTTGGTCACAAAGAATCCACAGTTATGGCCTAACTTGCATTTGTACTTCTGCCAAAATGAATATATCTGTTAATCACGTTGTGGAGTGTCTGTTTTTGGACATGTGATCAAAATGTAGCTCTAATGATGTGGTACGGAGGAGATGCTGCCTATGGCTCTTGAAGGCCTCTTCATGAGACTGCGTGTCCTGTCTTGGCCCAAAGGATTGAGGCCTGTTTGCCTCTCTCTTTTTTGCATGGCTGCTATATTGATCGAAATACTCGGGATGAATGCTTTTTGTATATCAATTTTGGGCAAGGTTAAATAAATTTGCTGCAGAGAATTTGGAGGTTCATCTTTTGTTGGGAAACTGAGTAGGCTTAGAGAACAGGGGAATGCGTTTCTGTATCCCGTCTTGTGACAATGGAAAAAATTGGCTCATGTGTTATAAATAACATTGATTGATCCTACTAAGAAAACCATGAGCAGCGTGTCAGAGGGCCCCATGCTTAAAATGATGGTAGACAGCAAGCTTAAAGCTAAAAGGATTTTCCTAGTCTAGTAGTAAATTGATTTATTTTTTCAGAGCTTCTGTTCTTTTTTGAGGTTTGTCAGATGAGAACAGGTTTTTCTTGCCTTGAGAACTCTGTTGGGGCTGTGTGATATGTTCAGAGTTTGTTGTCTGACTTGTATCTCTCAACCTCCACGTTATTTTTTCACCCCATACTGGCTTGAGGGTAGAGCCAGACCCACAGCGCAAGTTCTGTGTTTAACAAGCTTATTTTTCTATTTAGAAATCGGGAGCTGAAATGTTATGGAAGAAATGCAACCTCACAAGAGAAGGCTGCATTATTTGCAGTGCAGTTGTATGAATGTATTGGTTGTGAGAATTTTGGGTTCCATCACTCAAAATTAAAAATGAGTAAAATGAATAAACAGAAGGTATCATGATGTATTTCTGTTGGCAGAGGAGAAGGAACTGCACCTGCAAATTTTTGTAGCACTATCTCGGGGAGGGGAGGAAGGAGAACGGACAGCTCTGTTAGAGAGTAGCTTGTAGGCATATGTGGGTTAGTTTTAAGCTGGTTAGCTGGCTATATTGCAGGCAGTGTAACTATAATGGCATAAACCTCAGTAGAGAGGTATTGCTACCATATTCAGGTACGCTTTTGGCTTTTGTTTTTTAGTGTGAAAAATGAACTAGCATGTGAGTGCTGTTGATAAAGAGCTTCTAAAATTCAGAAGTCAAGTGTACTGTTAAGAATTGGGCTCAGTCTTTCCTCATACGATAAGCAGACTGTCATCTTGTGTATGTGTATATTGGCCCTCTTGCATGGGTAAGATACCTTCCAAATGATCTTAGATTTGGCAGAGGTGAAGCAAGGTTGGAAGCAGTCACCACCAAATTTTTACCTCACTAGTGAAGTTATGAAAGTTTCTTTTCTCTAATTTTCTTCCCTTTATTTTTCATTTTATTTTTTGACAAATATAGTTTGAGGTGAAAGAATGACTTTGTCTAGAACAACTGATGCCAATCAGTTAAGAATCCGATACGTGAGCATTACGATGACCACTGATGCCCGTACAGATTTGAAAGCTTCTGCAGTTTGAGAGACAATGTGAGAGCGTGCGATGGATATTAGGGGCCTGCGTCTTTATCTAGGCTACAGTAAGTGCAGCTTATGAGCGTGAATGGGCTAGTCTTAGACTAGCTAGCTGTATATATTGCAAGTGGTGTAGGTGCAACAGCAGACCTTTGCATAGATTAATTTCTGGAATACTTATTCAGCAGCGTAGGTTGATTTTGTAGCCCATGATGAACTGTGTGCAGTTACAGCTGTAATTCTAGCACAATCCTAGTTGACTGGAGTTGTCTACATGGATGATAATTATAGCAGTGCCTTCAATGGGGGCATGTTCTGTTTTCCTGTAGGAATTCACTTCGACCGTGAGTAGAGTGTGTTGCACGTACAAAGTAAACTTATTACTCGTATGTCAGTTATCAGGGAGTGTTTTCTCCCTAGTGATTTAAAGTTAAGGAGGATCCATTTCCAATCTTTGAGGGATTGACTCATCGTATGACCTTGGGCAAGTTACTCATCCACCTTGAGCTTCAGTTTTCCCAGTTGGAATATTAAGTAAACAATAGGAAACTTGCTGAAAGCCAAATGTTGTGATTGAGTTAAAGCTTCCTCGCTCTTTGTTCTTGTTTGTTTTATCTTTTTATGAAAAAGTTAGTTTCCTGTATTCTTTCAAGTCAGTATTTGAAAAATTTGCTTTAGATCTGCTACTCCAAGCTGTAGACCTAATATTCAGATTAAAAAAATAAAGTTCTAGCCTCCTCTTCAAACGTACACGTCCTCTTACTAAGTCTTCTGCTGATCTCGCTGCTGTGCTGCCATTTCCACGAAGAGTCTAGAAGATCATGGTCTCCTGGCAGCTGCAATCTGTCCCTCAGATAAAAATATAAGATTTTGCCATTACCTATGCAAGCATTAAATGGTGTTTTTTTCCTCAGATCGGCTAACAGTAGGCTGTTTAAACAGAAATTATCTGTGAAACAGCCTTCTATCCCTAAGTCAGCGTGTTGTTGCCCAGACAAGTGCTATAAAATTCTTCTAATAGTTTATGCTGGCTCTACGTACTACCTTTTGCTTGAGTGCTGAGATTTTGAGGTTTCCCTTGTTTGTTTTCGGATGAGACAGTTTTCCCCAAGGGTTAGTGGACTGCTTATGGAGACTGCAGGTAACATTAGAATAAACATACTTGTCTTGAGGTTTGTTTAGTGAGCTTTCCTTCTACAGTTTGAGAGAACTGTTGTGCAGCAAACCACAAGGATGGCACAGGCACTCCAGACAGGTGGCTCTTTGTGGGAATTCGCCTCCTGTGTCCCCCTGAGGATTGAAAAGGCATCTCTTACAGGTCAGAGGAGCTAGTGGGAGCTCTTCCTCTTTAAACACGCACCGCTCCATTTGAGCAGCATCTCTGCCCCCCAGGTTTATCTGCATTGGTGTAGCAATCCCAGGGGAAGCAAAGCACAACGTTTTTTACAGCATGCACCGAGGGAAGGAACAGTTTATAGTCGTCTTTGATATGTGCATGAATTGTGTTTTCAGATATTTTTGAGGTCACTGGAAAGAAGTTTACACTTGAAACAATGTAGCTAGAAATGTGAAGTTGGAATAAAGGTCCCAAACTGTCCTTGTGAAAGAGAGATCCTGTTGCTGTTCCCTCTAGTTGCTTCTAGGTGGCACTACAAGAAAAAGAATAGGTGTGCTCACTAGAAATGAGACAAGCTGACTGGTGCTCCAGTCACCTTTGTGCGTAGCCTAGCAGCTGGTAAATGTCATGGAGGAGAAAAAAGGGGAATAAACTTACTCTGCTGTGATAGGATTGATTGGATTCTGAGTCACTCTTTAGATAAGTGTGAAATGGACAATGGGCACTTACTGACAAGCTGGTTTTGCTTAGTGCCAAAAACATGATGGTTTGAAATTTACGCACATCTCCAAAAACTGTAATCACAGTAAAAGGACTCTCTTTCTCTAAGTATTTAAACTTGTGACTGCTTTATAAAGCAATCCTATAGCACAATTGGACTTGAATATATTAAACAAATAGAGTTTTTTTTCTTCTGTATTTCTGTATTTTGAAGACAAAAAGGCATATTATATTCTGGTTCGTAGCAATCTCTCAGCTTTTTATCATTTTCAAAGTTTTTGTCAGCTTTTGTTTTTGTTTGAATGAGTTGGTTATGTTTGATCTAGTATGTACTTGAAGATTTATCCTAGCAGATTATGAGGATGTCATCTTGTATGTTTACTTGTAAAACAAATCCTATGGCAACAAAGGTATGTATGTATGAAATATAACTTTTATGTAACTCAAAAACTTCTTTTTTTGTTTTTAGCAGCTCCATGAGACTGTGAAAAGAAAGCTTGATAGCGCTGCTTCCCCTCAGAACGGAGACCAGCAGAATGGCTATGGTGATGTATTTTCTGTTTCCAAGAAACTACGTCGTGAGGATGGTCTTGGTGGAGTAAGCAGTTCTTCCAATGGAATGCCCCCTATGTCTCCACTGCATCATCTTGATAAGAAATCTTCTGGTGGAGATACCTTACAACTTAATGGAAAACATTCAATGGGGCTAGATGGCATTAGCAAAAAGTGTCTTCCAGATTCCAACCTGCAAATGAATGGAGGCGGTGATGCTGATGACTCGTTTCCTTTGAGTTTGAATAAAGAACTCAAGCAGGAGCCTGTAGATGATCTTCCTTGTATGATTGCTGGAGCAGGGGGTTCTATTTCTCAGAACAACTTGATGCCTGATCTTAATCTTAACGAGCAAGAATGGAAGGAGCTTATTGATGAGCTTAATAGATCAGTGCCTGATGAAGACATGAAGGATCTCTTTAATGAAGACTTTGAAGAGAAAAAGGATGCAGATTCTTCAAATTCAGCTGCACAGACTCCGTTGCCACAAGATATTAACATAAAGACTGAGTTTTCCCCAGCAGCCTTTGAACAGGAACAGATGGGATCTCCACAGGTTAGATCCACTTCTTCAGGTCCAGCATTTATCGGTGCTGCTTCTGTACCTGTAAGTGCTGCTTCTCCGGCAGTTGGTAGTTCTCAGGCTATGTTTCAGCCTTCCAGTCAGTCAATGACTGAAAATCCGAACCAGCCCATGATGCAGGCATCAAACCACTCTCAGAACGTCCAGAGGCCTCTCCCTAATGTGTTGTTACCTGGGAAGGGCACAGGAGGTGCCAAAGAAATGTCCTCTGCTCATCAACTTCAGCAGATTGCTGCCAAGCAGAAGAGAGACCAGATGCTGCAGAACCAGCAACAAGCTTCACAGGTCCACCAAGCTAATCAGATGTCTAGCTGGCAACAGTCTGGGCCTTCTCACAGTCCACTGGCTGTCCCATACACCATGGAAAATCCCACCAGTCCTTCAGTTTACCAGCCAGACTTCAACAATCAGAAGCTCATGATGTCTAATATGGGAAATAAAAGTTCACCAAGAGCCGGAGGCAATTATCATGTGAGTATACTGGGTCATCAGCAAAACAGCTTGAACCAGAACCCTGTGAATAGTCAAGGCTCTATGCTAGACTACGGAAACACCAAGCCTCTTTCGCATTATAAAGTGGAATGTGAACAGGGAGTTACAGTACCTGCTCAGAACAAGGCTTCCATGTTGGCTTACATACAACAACGCCAGCAG